TAGTTTGGATTCTTCGTCTCCGTCTCCGTCGCCATCGGGACGTGGAGAGTCGACGCCAGGAGGGTCCCTGCCCTCCTCTGGACGTGGAGAGTCGACGCCAGGGGAGTCGCTGCCCTCCTCGGGGATGTCCTCCAGGTCAGCGCTGGCTGCGGCGACCCGAGCACGATAATAATAATATTATAGCTATGCCGCCATGCTGCACGTGCGGAAAGGCCTCGACCTGTTCAGGCTGCAAATGCGCCAAAGCTGGACGCCAATGTACCAACTGCTCCGCCAGTCGCCATGGAGCGTGTCGCAACTCCTGTCGCTCAACGTCGTCACAGAAGGCCGGCAGCGCTGCTGCCGCCTCTCATCTGGCTTTCTCTTCATCGTGCCCAGCACCCTCCGCCGTGAATACTCGAAATTCAAGAACTCGAAATTCGAATGTTCAAGGAGTATCTCAAATATCGGCCTCCTCTTCCTGCCACGATGGTCGCGGACACCCTTCTACCACGTCCTCACAACACAGCTGTGCTGCCACGGAGACGTCTGTTTCATCCTCATGCCCCGCTGTGGCTTCTGGCTCAGGCACTCAAACTCCCCAGGTTCGAAACTCTCAAGAGAATTCTCAGCCGCCTTCCGGTACGCACAGCACTGGGGATGCGCACGCCCTGGACTACTCTGCCATTTCATCCCAAGACATTGACCTGCTTGCGAACTTGGACGCCTCTCAGCCACCTGAGCGACTCCCTGACGCTGCACCAGCCCTAAACTGCCAGCCGTTCACCTGGGCTTCCGTCCCATCATCGCAGTTTGAGCAAGCCCTGGAGCACGCGAGAGAAGTTGTCGTCAACTGGCGCCGCAACATTTTTGCAATACCATCTGGAAAAGCAGGCTGTGCGTTCGCGGAGGAGCAGGCTCGTCTCCTGCAACTCCTGTCCCCTGACACACCTCAGGAACGCATTGCTCTGAAAGCTGCTATGGTGTTTCCGCCGCTTCTCCTGCAGAAACCTTTCCGGACATCAAAGGCTGCTGATCATGTCCGCTGCTTGCAGCGTCGACTCCAACTATGGAAAGATGGTGATATCACTTCCCTGCTCCACGAGGGTCAGCAGATCCAAGACCACCTACCATCTGGTCCTCTCCAGCGGTCTGATGACGCAGCGGTGAAAGGCTTTACCCGTCTCATGCTCGCGGGCAAAGTGAAAGCAGCAATTCGTTGCCTGCACACCTCAGGCAAGGGGGGCGTCCTTCCCTTGCAGGCTGACTGCGGTGATGGCCAGTCCACCATAGATATTCTGAAAGCCAAACACCCATCACCGGACTTGGATGGCCCCTCATCCGATGTACTGCTACAGGGTCCGTGCCGCCCAACGCATCCCGTGCTGTTCGAACCGGTGAATGCTGCATTTGTCCGGGCTACCTCTCTTTCCCTGTTTGGTGCGGCAGGGGTGTCTGGGCTGGATGCAGATGCCTGGCGGAGGATGTGTTGTTCATTTGGAGGATCTTCCACGGGCCTATGCAACGCTGTAGCCATGCTGACGAAGCGCCTTGCCACCTCTCCTGTCGATTCGGGTGCCTTGGCGCCGCTGCTGGCCGGAAGGCTTGTGCCCCTGGATAAGAATCCTGGTGTGCGCCGGATCGGCATTGGGGAGACCCTCCGTCGCCTCATTGCCAAGGTGGTCCTCCGCATCACGCGTCAGGACATTGTTGAGGCCGCGGGTGCACTTCAAACCTGTGCTGGGCATGAGGGAGGGGCGGAGGCCGCTGCACATGCCCTGTGTCGCCACTTTGACAGCAGCAACACAGAGGGAGCACTCCTGGTCGATGCTACCAACGCGTTCAACTCCCTGAACCGTGCAGCTATGCTCCACAACATCCACCTACTATGTCCATCAATAGCAACAATTTCGAAAAACTTTTACCGCAGCACAGTACCTTTCCACGTCAGCGGTACGGTTATCTGGTCTGCTGAAGGCACCACGCAAGGCTGCCCACTAGCCATGCCCCTCTACGCTATTGCCATTACGCCACTCGTCACTACCCTCGCCACCGCCCTTATGGTCGACTCTCCAGCTGGCACGGTGCATGATCGCGAATCACCTGAGAGACCAGCCGGCGACGGTGCGTCCGCTGCTCGACCGGACGCCTCGACCATCCAGCTATGGTATGCCGATGACGCGGGGGCCGCTGGCCTGCTGCAGCGCCTTCGCACCTGGTGGGACCAGATCTGTCAACTTGGCCCAGCATTCGGCTACTATCCAAACGCTGCCAAGACTTGGCTGGTTGTCAAGCCCGAGCATCTCGATGCTGCCAACGCTGCATTCGCCGACACCGATGTCCACATCACCACTGAGGGCCGCCCCTACCTGGGTGCTCCTCTGGGCTCGGAAGCCTTCAAGACAACATTTTGCAATGCTCGAGTGGAGGCTTGGGCATCTGAGATGCGTGAGCTGGCGAACGTGGCCGAGGCCGAGCCCCAAGCCGTGTATGCCGCACTGGTCTTTGGGTACCGTCACCGCTGGACATTCCTGATGCGCGTGTCGAGCTGTGCACCAGACGTCTTCGAGCCTCTCGAGTCCTCTCTTCGCTCCGTCTTGTTGCCAGCTCTATTGGGTGTGCCAGTCGTCCCTGCCCCTCTACGCAGCCTCCTTGCTCTGCCTGTGCGTCATGGTGGCCTTGCAGTGCTCAATCCAGTTGAGGCTGCCCCGCAACAGCGGACAGCATCTCTGTCCATCACGAGCAGTCTCCAGCAACTTATCGCGGACCAGTCCTCCCTCTACAGCGTAGACCCAGCGACCATTTGCGCCGCCAAGGCTGCTGCCAGGCAAGCCCAGTCTGTGACTACCAAGACCGTCCTGCAGACAGCTGGTCCAGAGGCCCTACCACCAATGCTTCTGGAGCACCTCCAGGCCAAGGGAACAGGTGCATTGCTGACCTGTCTTCCTGTTCGCGAGCATGGATACTCCCTCGACCGGCGGTCCTTCGTTGATGCCCTATGCATTCGGTATGGCCTCACCATCCACGATTCACCTCCCGAGTGTCCATGCGGCCGGCCGTTCACCATCGACCAGGCAATGATCTGCAAGTTGGGCGGCTATCCCATCCACCGGCACAACCATGTCCGCAACTACCTGGGCCAACTTCTCTCTCAAGTGTCTGAGGATGTGCAGCTGGAGCCACCGCTGCAACCTCTACCGACGGTGCGCACGTTTGACCATGGGCCTGCCCTGCTCACTGCGGACGACGCCAGACCGGACATCAGGGCCTTGTGGCCTTGTTGGTCGGTACAGACTGATGCATTTTTGATGTGAGGGTGTTCTATCCCAACGCACAGTCGTACCGATCTCGCCCGCTGGCTGAGGTGTTCCAATGGCACGAGCGTCAGAAGCAGTCGGCATACGGTGCCCGGATCCGGGAAGTTGAGCACGCGTCGTTCACCCCGATCGTCCTGTCTTCTGCTGGTGCCCTGGCGAAGGAGGCCACCCGGTTCCTGAAGCTGCTTGGAACGAAGCTCTCCACCAAGCTCTCGCAGCCTTATCCCCTCGTGATGGGAAAGCTGCGGACGGACCTGGCTTTCAGCCTTGTCCGCGACTCCGTCCTGATGGTTCGTGGGAGTCGCCGTGCATTCCGTGCACCTGGTCTGGCGGCGGATGTGGATGCTGTTTCTGTGGAGGCCCGCATTCCCGCCACTACGTGACGCTAAGTCCTCCTGGGGTTTGCCGCTCTCCGGTCCTCTTTCATCCCGTTCTCCTCTCTTTTTTGGGGATTCTTTGTACTTCGTCTTTCTTGTTTTTCTTGTTCCTTTGTTTTTTTGTAGGACAGATTTTTGGTGTACTGATTTCGGTTGTTGTTGTGTCTGACTCTATTCCCAATATCTAATTCTGTGGTTGGTTTTCCAACTCATTGGGTTGTAGTTTCCATCATGAGTTTGATTCCATCGTGAGTTTTGATTCTATTTGCTATTTTTCGTTCCATTTTTGAGCTCATATTTTATTTTCCTGATTTCTTCTCCAGTGTATGTTGTATTGCATTTTTAATACATTGTGTTAATTTTTGCCCGTAAAAGAGGCTTGCACCCCCAATAAAAAAAAATAAGAAGAAGAAGAAGAATAAGACTACACCATAGCTCAGTGGTTAGAGCATCGCTGGCTACAAGCGAGGGTCCCTGGTTCGAGTCCTGTTGGTGACAGTCAATTTTTTCTTCAGACTTTTCCCGTTTGTCTCTTTCCCTCAAACCAGTTAATATTTTATGACTTGGGGCTCCCCGCGTGCTAGTTTGTACGTGAAGTGTGTGGGTTACAGTGAGGGCTGCGTCCCACCCGCCTGTGTGGATTCACAGGAAGTGTGAGTTACGAAGTCTGAAGAAAATGTTGAACGGCATCTGCTGGGATGACGACTACACCATAGCTCAGTGGTTAGAGCATCGCTGGCTACAAGCGAGGGTCCCTGGTTCGAGTCCTGGTGCTGACAGTCAATTTTTTCTTCAGACTTTTCCCGTTTGTCTCTTTCCCTCAAACCAGTTAATAAGAATAATAATAAGAATAATAACCGCGATGCAGAAGCAAGTTTGAAAAATAGGAGCTCTGGCAGAGTGGGCTTCTCCACATACTGCCCGCTCCTATTCCTTTTCGCTTTTCCCACTGTTGCATTCCTCGTGTCAAGTAGCCCTTGTCTATCATTTTGTGTAGTATTTGCCGTTAGTGTATGTCCGAGCCAGCCAACAGGAGGTTGAAATGGAGCCGACAGGACAACGAAGATGTTGCAAGATGTTATCTTATAGCCTCAGTCGGCGGTACGGTACGTGTGTACGGAGACCGGATGCTGATGGAATGGAGTCAGGTTTTTTTTTTTTTTTTTACTAAAAAACACAGCCCTACTAATAATCAGGGGACGAGGACAACTGAAATGACACTGGACAACAAGACGAAGGGGAGTAGGGGCGATGGGCCGATGTGGTTGGCCAGGCTCATCCGACCGGAGGTCTCGGAATCATAGCCTACGACCAGGCATCGATAGGAATGCAGCCCGACTTACCGTTGTCTAAGCAGAACCTCATGGACCAGCTAAGGTTTGTGAAAAGAACAAAAAAGATTACCGACATCAAATTTGATGAGATAAAGGCTCGGCTCGGAAGGGACGGATTGCTCGTGACGGCTGGCACTGATAACGCTGTGCCTGCGGAGCTGCCGGAGGCGAATGCTTTGGGTGAGTCTGGTGCGTCGATCTTGGTGCCTGGTTCGTGTGACGGCATGCTGACTAGCCCAGAAGTTGCTGAGGCCACCCACAGCGAGTTGCTGGACGCTTCTGTTGATGGTTTTCGTGGAGCTAGTCCTGACACCTCAGTTACATCAGGTGGTTCGGGTGATGGTACTGGCGCAGCAATGCAAACTGGCACCAACGCTAGTGACACCCTGGGTGCGTTCGAGCCAGACAGTACACCACTTTACACCAAACTTGTTGAAATCTACGAACAGTGCGGTTCAACTACTCCAGAGTCCAGGTCGAGCCTACCAGTACCTAGGCACGTGGCCAGGAAGTCCCTGGCCTCTGCCACTGCCCGTGTGAACAAGATACTCCCTAGACTTCTGGAGTGTGACCCTGGGTTGCGAGATGACACCACCTCGCTTGGCCAGATCAGTGACATGGTCTATGCTGGGGCCAAGCTTGTACTCTCACTGCTGGATATCAATACAGATGGTACCCCTGAGACAGCTAGAGGAGAACGCTCCTTGCCTGCCTGGCGACAACGCCTTGAAAAACGTGTTTGTGCACTGAGGGCTGACGTCTCCCAGCTGACCAGCTTCCTGCGTGATGGATCCCTCTCTGACACCAACATCAAGCAGCACAGGATCCACCGGCAATATAAAGTCCAGACTTTGGATCAGGCCCGCCAGCTACTGGAGTATACGAAAATGCAGCTAGAAGCAACAGCCGCACGGATCCGGCGCTATAAGCTAGAGGCAACACACAGGTCGGAGAATCGTGTTTTCGTCACGAATGAGCGTCAGTTCTACCGCAATATGACCAAGTCTACGGAAATACCTGGGCAGCCACCTTTCGACCAGGCTGCTGCGCATCCATCGGCTGAGGCTGTTACTGAGTTCTGGTCATCTATACTGGAACAACCCGTGGAGCTGCGTGGCGGTGCTTGGCTTGATAATTTGGAGAGGGACTGTGAGGAGATTCAACAACAAGACCGTGTCATTCTTCAACTGGAGGACCTCAGGGACATCTTGAAGAAATCAAACAACTGGAAAGCCCCAGGACGGGACAAGATCCATGCATTTTGGTGGAAGAAGTTTTCGTCTATCCACGAGCGTCTTGTGGTCTCCTTTCAATCAATCCTGGATGCAGAGACAGAGTCGCCGGCCTGGTTTTCGTTTGGTATCACCACTCTACTGCCTAAGAAAGGAGACCTTTCTAGGCCCGAGAATTATCGCCCAATAACATGCCTGCCAGCGATTAGCAAGATATTCACATCCTTACTCGCTGCTGCCATGTGGCGCCATTTATCTTCAGAGGATATCTTTGCAGATGAGCAAGTTGGCTGTACTCCAGGGCGTGGCGGATGCCTTGACCAACTAATGATCGATAAGATGGTTCTAGAGGATGCAGCATCCCGTAGTCGGAATCTTTCGACATGCTGGGTGGACTTCCGCAAAGCCTTCGATAGCCTGTCTCACCAGTGGATCCGGAGATGCCTGTTGATCTACCGCTTTGCAGACAATCTTGTCTCATGCATCTCAAGCATGATGGATCATTGGAGAACGCAAATGGTACTGCCTGGTCAAACACCCCGTGCATTCAGTCGCCCAATATCTATCCACCGTGGCATTTTCCAGGGCGATTCCCTTTCTCCACTGCTATTTTGCCTGTCTCTAAATCCGATCAGTGGCGAGTTGACCAGGACGGGTCTTGGCTACCGCTGCGGCCCACCGGCCCAGGTGTGCCCTGTATAGCACCTGTTGTACATGGACGACATGAAGCTCTTCGCCCGAAACGACAATAATCTGCTCTCCATGACCAATGTTGTGGAGTCAATGGGCGACTGCATTGGTATGCGTTTCAACCCGTCAAAGTCTAGCTGGCTCACTATGAAACGGGGGAGAGCCCAGAGCGATCAGCAGTCTGCTCTCCAGACACTCCAGGGTCACGCCATTGCTAAGCTGCAGGCGGAGGAGTCCTACAGGTACCTTGGTGTCCCGGAATCAGCACATTATCACGCCACCGAATTGAAGACCACAGCAAAGGCTGAGTTCGGCCGCCGTCTTGAATTGATATGCTCGTCTCAATTGAACGCCAGGAACTTGGTCAAAGCCATCAACACCTTTGCCATTCCAGTCATCCTCTACTCTCTGTGCATCGTTGAGTGGACAAAGGCAGAGATAGAGGAACTCGACCGACAGACCCGCCAAGCACTGTTTAAAGCACACGCCCGCCACCCCAAGGACTCTGCCGCCAGGGTCCACCTGCCTCGTGACATGGGTGGTCGAGGAATTCTATCATTCCGGGATCTCCTGGATAGAACCCGTGTCCCGGTGGCGCGGTACCTACAAGCCCACCACCGAAACGTGCCACTGTTGGCTGCTGTTAATGGTGTACTAGCTGTGCTAGTACTTGTTAGCAACAATCCGAACTAGCGCACACACTGCACTGCATTGCTTTGTACTGCATTCAAGACTGACGTCATGCGCTTTGTTTTGCTGCGTAATCACAAATGGCACCAGCCCATTTTGCTCAAAAGAAAAACAAATCTTGCTTGCCCTGTTGTGCTCTTCCAGACAACGGATCGTGCTTCAGCAGTGTTTCTTTTCCCACCATCCCTCCCTAACCAACTTATTCACACCATCATAATTATCGTGCCCACTAATCGGGTCCACTCTCACAACTGGTGTTATCTAGCTATTTGCTGCGGCTCTGCCTTGCGCTATATTACATCCATTTAGCATTGCAGCTCTACGTTGAGCTAACAGCAGCTCTACTTTGAGCTAACAGCGGCTCTACTTTGAGCTAACAGCAGCTCTACTTTGAGCTAACCGCAGCTCTACTTTGAGCTAACAGCAGCTCTACTTTGAGCTAACAGCAGCTCTACTTTGAGCTAACCGCAGCTCTACTTTGAGCTAACAGCAGCTCTACTTTGAGCTAACAGCAGCTCTACCTTGAGCTAACAGCAGCTCTACTTTGAGCTAACAGCAGCTCTACTTTGAGCTAACAGCAGCTCTACTTTGAGCTAACCGCAGCTCTACTTTGAGCTAACAGCAGCTCTACTTTGAGCTAACAGCAGCTCTACTTTGAGCTAACAGCAGCTCTGCTCTGAGCTAACAGCAGCTCTGCTCTGAGCTAACAGCAGCTCTGCTCTGAGCTAACAGCAGCTCTGCTCTGAGCTAACAGCAGCTCTGCTCTGAGCTAACACCAGCTCTACTTTGAGCTTCAAACCAGTTGTTTCGAAACCAGCACTCCTCAATCCAAAGATGCCTCTTTGTTGACTTGTTTGTGTGAGGGATGGGGCTAAGCGCCATCACGACAATGATGTGGCACCGTCAAAATCAGTTACACGTCAAGCCTCCAGACTTCTGGGTCAACTTGACCTACCAGACTTGGAGACTGCCACAAAAGTCATTGTCAAGAAGGCCGTTGCTCTCCGGTGCCTGGCCGTTATCCAAGGTAAGCCTCTCCATGGCCAGTTCTGGAGACGAGCTTCTGATGCAGGCTTGGACCTGGGTTTGAGTTTTCGCTGGCTGAAATCGCCAACGATCAGGCCTGCGACAGAGGGACTCTTGCTGGCTGTACAGGATCAGGCCATTGCGACCAGGCACTATCAGGTCACGGTCATTGGACGGGGAGACGTTGTGGACATTTGTCGAGTTTGCGGCACTCGCGGAGAAACAGTTGATCACATTGTGGCCTGTTGCCCAGCCCTAGCCAAAACACTGTATATCGAACGGCATGACACGCTCGTCAAGTTGGTGCATTGGGCACTATGCAAGCGGCATGGTCTGGGTTAGCCAGGAAGCAACCCGATGAAGCATCATCTTGTGCATGTCACGGAAAATCCTGACATGAAGCTCCTGTGGGAGTTCAATATCCCAACGGATACGCAAGTGCGCCACAACCGTCCAGACCTGGTGTTGCGGTCCAGCACACAGGTGCTGCTGATGGATGTCAGTGTTCCATTGGACCAGAATGTGCCCACAAAAATCGCCGAAAAAATAACAAAGTACGCTCCCCTTTGCCAAGAGCTGCGGCGCATCTGGCATGTGGATGATGTCCGCGTTGTGCCCCTGGTTGTTGGGGCGCTTGGTGGACTGACTGGTGTGTCCCTGTCACACTTTGTGTTGGCATTGGCAGGCACTCTGCGCATTGAAAGGGCTCAGCAATGTGCTATCCTGGGCACGCTGAACATCATCAAGTCGGTTCTGGGCATTCGGCATTAGGCTCCTCATGTTACGGGTAGAGCTAGTCTGTATAAACCTCCAATACCGCATTTGCTTTGACATCCATGAATGTGCAGTATGACGGTCCTCACAGCCTGATTTTTCTCTTGCCATTTGTTTATGTCCTGCATTCATCTCTTCCTCTATTTCTACAGGTCTATTCCTGTACTGGTAGTTCATTTTTGTGATTACTCTTTTTGTATTCGAATATGTCTTGTCCTCCTCCATCTTTTTGTATTCGAATATGTCCTGGCCTCCTCCACCGTTCTGCTTATTTCTGTCCGTCTCTCAGTTTCTGCGTCGGCTTTCAATATTTTTGCTTTGGTTTTTACAATCCTTTTTGCTTCGGTCTTCATTGCGTTGGCCATTTATCTATTTTTTTTCTCTCATTACCCTTAGTCTCTTTTGGCCCGGTGATGGGGTTCTTACCTCATGTCATGACAACGTGAGTGAAATAAAGCCAACTCCATAATAATACGAAGTAGTGGTTGCGACTTCGGCGATGATTTGTAAGAAAGGTTTGCTCCCCACACCGGAGCTCGCGCTATTCCGCCGACTTTACTTGACACTTGACTGACTCACGACTGCAATCCAGAGCACACGAGAAGTCCATCGAACCTTCGACTCGGCAAACCTGCAAGAAAGCACCACTCCCTTCTCAATACACAGTGTTTCGGGGAATTCACCCCTCATCAGTTGAGCTTGAGTAGGCTGAGGAAGATTGTGCCAGAAGAGCACCACTTATATAGTGCTCTCCAGGCACAAACATCACCAGGGATACAAACTTACAGAGACGCTCCGCTTCCAGCGTGACAAACACCTCGTGAACACCAGATAGCAGCGTGAGTCAGTGTCGCTCCTGGACGGTGAGACAGACGTCGAGGACCCTCGGTCATTCACAACGCTGTCACCTCCAAACGAACTAGTCGCAAGCCCGCGCTGGGCACAACAGTACGAAGTAGTGGTTGCGACTTCGGCGATGATTTGTAAGAAAGGTTTGCTCCCCACACCGGAGCTCGCGCTATTCCGCCGACTTTACTTGACACTTGACTGACTCACGACTGCAATCCAGAGCACACGAGAAGTCCATCGAACCTTCGACTCGGCAAACCTGCAAGAAAGCACCACTCCCTTCTCAATACACAGTGTTTCGGGGAATTCACCCCTCATCAGTTGAGCTTGAGTAGGCTGAGGAAGATTGTGCCAGAAGAGCACCACTTATATAGTGCTCTCCAGGCACAAACATCACCAGGGATACAAACTTACAGAGACGCTCCGCTTCCAGCGTGACAAACACCTCGTGAACACCAGATAGCAGCGTGAGTCAGTGAAGCTCCTGGACGGTGAGACAGACGTCGAGGACCCTCGGTCATTCACAACGCTGTCACCTCCAAACCAACTAGTCGCAAGCCCGCGCTGGGCACAACAGTACGAAGTAGTGGTTGCGACTTCGGCGATGATTTGTAAGAAAGGTTTGCTCCCCACACCGGAGCTCGCGCTATTCCGCCGACTTTACTTGACACTTGACTGACTCACGACTGCAATCCAGAGCACACGAGAAGTCCATCGAACCTTCGACTCGGCAAACCTGCAAGAAAGCACCACTCCCTGCTCAATACACAGTGTTTCGGGGAATTCACCCCTCATCAGTTGAGCTTCATAATAATAATAATAATAATAACTTATTGATGTCAGTGTGCCACTGGATCATAGAGTGACACTAAAACATGCTGAGAAAAGAGCGAAGTACTTGCCCCTCGCAGTGGAAATTGGGCAGATTTGGCAGCGAGAGGCAGTGTCCGTAGTGCCCATCATAGTTGGTACTTTTGGTAGCCGGACGAAGGAAGCGGATACCTCAATTAAGCAGCTATGTGGAGAAGAGCGGCACCTTCATGAACTGCAGCAGGCTGCTATCCTTGGCTCGATGGCCATTCTAAGATCTGTTTTGGGTGCAGCATAGGGCTCTTCGCTGTCCCTGGTGGGTTTTTTATGCTCTGTATGTTATTGTATTCGTTTTAGTTTGTAATTGAAACACTGGGGTAATTCTGTGGGTATTCGTATTTGATCTTTCTGTGGGTGCGCATTGGAGGTTGTGCCCAGTGATGAGCTTTGCCGGCCTGAATTTTTCGCCAACTTCTGATGCTCCCCTTTCTGCAATACCTGTTGTCATGATACCTCTGAGCTTTAATGCCTGTGGTGGTAAATGCGCCTTTCTCCCTTCCTCTATCTCTACCTTACCTTTTTCCATATATTATTCCGTGCTGCTTACCTTTGGCTATGATAAGTCCGGTGAGTTAGTGTAATACATCCAATTTTTATTTTTATTTTCAATTTGGAGTGGAATAAAGACTCATAATAATAATACAGTTGACTGGTTTTGAGGGAAAGAGCCAATCGGGAAAAGTCTGAAGAAAAAATTGACTGTCACCACCAGGACTCGAACCAGGGACCCTCGCTTGTAGCCAGCGATGCTCTAACCGCTGAGCTATGGTGTAGTCGTCATCCAAGCAGAGACCGTTCAACGT